CTGGGTCACTGGTCATTGTGGCTCAGGCATGACCCTTCCCCTGCTTGGTCAGTTTTGTTTTCCCTACCTCTTTCTTTTCCTATGTCTTTCCTGAGACACTAATTCCTGCCAGCTTTTTCCTCCGAAGGCAAAAGGGAAGATGATGTGAAATCAGAAGCATCTGAGTTTTCACCTGAAAAGCACCTAAAGAGATGCGATTACTGCTCCTATCCAGGGACTGGTTCTTGTCTCTATCTTGGCCAGTTCTCATGGGTCTTGAAGGACAAGTCTGGCTTATAACGAGGAAGCATTTCTAATGGCCTCTGGGCTTTCTGCAGCGTGCTGTGCTCCTCACTGCCACGGCCCAGCTTTTCAGTAGCACTTTTCATTCTGTCGTTGTTGTATGTACAATGACAGGACCAATTGTTGAAGGCCAACAGTGTGGCAGGCCTGGTGCTAGTGCTCTTTTCAATGTAGAATATTGCTCCCAGTACAACCATAGAGAACCGGAGGTTTCAAAATGTACCGTCATTTGTCCAAAGTCTCACAAATAGAAAAATGGCCAAGCTGAGATAGCCTTGTCCTTAATTATAAGTCGGAGGGGATTTTCTTTTGCTTTTACCTTTGCCGTTACCTCCCTCTCCTCTCCTTTCTCCTCTTTGTCCTCCAGGTCCTGCTCCTCCTCCTCCTCCTCCTCCTCCTCCTCCTCCTGTTCCTCCTTCTTCTCTACCTCACGTGGCATCAAGCACAAGGTTGGACTACAGTAACACAAGATGTGACCAACTCTATGGTCCTTGATCTACTCACATGCCGGGCAGGGCAAGAGGCCAGCAGGGCTCCACAGGAGGAGAAACCATCAGTTGTTGCTTCCAGATCACTGGAGTACAAGGCACAGGCAACGACACTGGGGGCCGGCTGAGTAGCCAAGGCTCTTGAGAGCCCTCCTGCAGAGGCAGAGAGCACAGGTAGGAGCTAGATACCGGAATGGCTATGGAGAGAACAGGTGCAGGCATGTTTAGGGAGGAAGATGGGAGTTCTGAAGACCATCTGGTTTTGTCTTCCATTGTGCACATGGAAAAAACTGAAACCCAGAGAGGAGAAGTAAGTTTTTCTAAAGTCCTATGGCAAACCGGTGGTAGGAACCATGTTGGGAGACACAGTAGCAGGGGTCTGAGCTGTGCCTGGCTGGGAGTATCCTCCACTGGCAACACACCCTCCTTACCTCCTTGAAGGTCTTGGGAGGGTGGACCTCAGGCTGCGGCACGAAGCTCTCCTTCTTAGCTGTGAAAGACCAGGGACAGTTTTGGTGAGCCCTCCCCGACAACACCCCACTTTACCCATTCCCAGCCTGGGGTCCTATCTCACCATGGACCTCTTCAACCTCATAGACCTCTCTGACCTATAAACACATGGTAGCTGACACTGATAACATTTTATTGTAAAGCAAGCTAAGGTGCAGCAAGTAACCTGCTCAAGGCCATCCCACAGCTGTGTGTTAGGACTGGTGACAGAACTACTCGTGCATCTGCCAGTCAAACTCGGGCTCCCTCCCTGACCAGAGACACTCACTGAGAACTCCTGTTCCAGTGGTCAAATTCTCCACATGGAGTTGAGCTTTGGGAGGGTCAGCCACTGTCCTTATCGGTCCTTGAGTCAGGTGCTTCTTTAGCTGTGCCTTCTGCTCCTTCTGCAAGGTACTCACATCAGGCAACACCTTGCAGGGTTCCCTAAAGTGGGGAATTGCGAGGTTAATTACATTGGAGGAGGACCGACCCCTCCCCTTATCTAAACCCATACTCACAAGAAGAGGGTACAAGTGTGACATCTGCAGGCCCGGAAGGGGCAAAGATGCTTGTTGCCCCAGACTTGAGTAGTGATGCCATGGTTCTGGCAGTGGTCACAGCGACCTACAGCTCTTCTGGGGCCCAGTTCCATCCCCTGTGGAGTTCTGGTTTCAAACACTGTGGTGTATTCAGAGTTGGAGGGGAAGCAGGGTACGGCAGGTATTTCTTTGGGGTCCATGGTTCTAGGACCAGGAGCAGAGGTCAGAATGGCCACATGGTCCGGTACCGCTGATGTACTTCCTCTGCCATTAAAAAAACCTTCCGTGAGGTGGCTGGATTCTTCTCCAGTCTGCTCACCACAGGCATCAGATTGCCCCCTCCCTTCTTCTCTCATGGCTTTCTCCAACCTTCACTCTGGCATCCTGGCTCATGCAGTATCCTTCTCAGGAAATCCCACTCGACACCAACCTCTTCCCCAAGAAATTCTTGGTATGGGTCCTCCCTACATGTTCAATTTGATCAGTATTCTGGCCTGCCTTCAGTCCACCACAGATCTCATTTTCAGGCATGCACGTGCAATCCTATGACCCATTAAGCAGTTACTACACACTCTTCTTAGATATCATCGTGCACTCTGCCGAGCCTTACTATTATTCCTGGCCTCCAGTTCAGTAATTGCCGACCTCATCTCCTGTATTCATTTCCTCCCCTCCCATGATTTTATGCCCCCCTGCCCAATTCTATTATTAGTCTCATATATACCGTTTATGCAACTTTTCTTTCACTCTCCATTCTGATGTTCTCCTGCACCTCACCTTAATCTTCATTGTTCACTTGCTCTTCTTTTAAGGTGATTGATTACTCTCTTGCATACTCCGAAATCATATTGTTCTCCTGGATTCAACCCCCTCTCTGAGGTACTATTTTCCTTCATGCCTTCATTCATTTCCTCGATTTTTTCATTCAACCGATATTTGTCGATTTCCTTAAGGAGTGGCAGTGCCATTCTAGCCATCGTAACCACCTCGTGCAGTGCAGTAATTTTCCTTTTGATCAACACACCTTCCCTGCTTCCATGCAAACCCATGCATTTCCTGCACGGCCTCCCAACAACCTTCCACATGCCTCTCCACACTTGTAAAATTGTGCTTGAAAATAGGGTCTCTCCACACACAGCACTGTCCACACCTCGCCCCCACCCCACATCCCTGTTCCCCATCCAGCTTCTCTGGAGTGCACCTCCTCAGTAATCCCAATCATTCCTTGAATCACATACAGGGGCCTCAGCCTTGCCCAAAGGTCCAGGACTCAGGGCTCAGGGCGGGGTCTTATCTCACTGTGGACCTCTTCATGGGGAACTAGGGCAAAGGGTTCTGAGAAGTTTGAGGGTGGGGTGGGGTATCTCGGGGGGAGGGGGAGGTGATGCTACCCTGCTGAGGTGAAGGAGAGGCAAAGCGGTTGGAGAACCGGAGCAGGAGGGAGGAAGGAAAGACTGGGCATGGAGACGACAGGTCATTTTGCTCTTCCCAACTTGTGGTTGCCCCAGCCTCCAGCGAGGCTCAAATCAATCAGCTGAGACAAGTGTTCTGAGGGAAAATACGACCCCTGCTCCTTTCCCACCATTCCTACAGTGGCCAATGATCGTCTGGCTCTGCCTATCATCTCCCAACGCTGTGGCCAGCAGCCAATAAGCTGTAAGATGCACCAAGGCTCCCACACTGTGGTAAGCCCCCCTCACTTCCTGATAGCTTCTGGTGCTTGTTTGCCTAGTCCAGTCAGTAACTCCTGAAGTGAACTCCAAGGGAAGTTGAGCTTTGTGTTTCCTGTGGCTAGTTTCCCAGTCTAGTGTCCCTTCGGATGCAAAATATTCTGTGTGCATGCCTTTTGAACTCATGGACTTGGTATTTTTCTCATTTACCCTTTACAAATGTAGCTTGTGTTTTTCAGAACAATTCGTATTTCTACGTCAGGGATTCTCAACCGGGCACAGTTGCACTCCCAGAGAACATTTGCCAGTGTCCAGAGACATGTTCCTCCACTTCGGTGTGTCTCTGTTTGTGAGCTCCCTGTTATGTTCCATGGGAAAACCTGTCTGTTGCTGTACCAATACTACACTGTCTTCATTCACATCACTCCCTTAGTGCATTTGGACATCCCCTGGGGCAAGTCCTTACATTGTGTTCATCGTCTCCTAATATACTCTCGTTCATTAGTCTTTGGTACTCGTCCATTTAAAATTAGGTCCCGCATGTCAAATTTTTCAAAACCTCAGGTGCAACAAACTCAGGTTGTATTTTACTGAATCTTTTTATCAGCTAGGGGAGAACTGACTAACTGTAGGATATTCATCTTCCCTGGTCTCCCACTTGGGATGTCTGTGTTTCTGTGGCTCTATAACGTCTTAATCTTTTACTCTTTCAGTTTAGTGGGGTTGTTTTTGTTTGTTTGCTTGTTTGTTTTGCTATAGGACACATGCACTCCTCAGAGAGAGAGAGAGAGAGACAGAGAAAGTGAAGAATCACCTCCCAGGAGGGTTGGCCACATGGATCCCTTCTCCTCCATTCTCCTCTCATGGATCCCTTCTCCTCCATTCTCCCCTCCTGCCCAGTGGCGTTCCTCAAGATGCAGGTCTCCAGGGACTCCAACCCCTCAGTCGGCTATGTGGCGTCCAGCTGCCTTAACCACCAGGCTACAGGATGGCCCTCAGCTTAGTTTTTATTTTTATCTTTTTTCATTAAAATCTTCTATATCATTTATTGTATTTATCCCATGATACTCTATTCAGAGTGCTGCTGCTCTTGTACTTGATATCTGTTCAAAATGAAAATTTTTGTTTTGATCTAATTGACAGAAATGAATTAGATATGCGTTTAAAGTTTATTGGTTTGAAAGTCAGCCGCCATGCAAAACTCTGTCGTATCTAAAAGTTTGTCTACAGGAATTCTGGGATTTAATGTGAACCTGTGACTAATGGAAACTTGAATTAAACTTATGGATTTCTTATCATGAAGGTTAAGATATGCAGTACAAGGCCTAATAGAGATACCAAAATTGGGCTTCTTCGAATTGTTCCTGAATTGAAACAGAATGCTGCCAATGTTTCCATATTAAAATGTCTTCCCTGTGCTTTCTCTACCTTCCTCCCCTCCTGCCTTCCCTCCTTCCCTCTCTCCTTTTCTTTCTTCTTGCCTGCCTTACTTCATTCCATCCTTCCTTCCCTATTCCCTTCCACCTTATGAACATCCCATCTATTCCAAATTTCAAAAACTTGTCTTAAAACTTGTGAATAGGAGTTCAATTTCATTTTTCCATGCATAGCAATGATCAAGACTTAGTTCATTTAATCTGTGAATACAGTGAGTGTCATTGATACTTTTTTACAAAAAAATTATATCATCTCCAAAGTACAAAACTCGTGTGTATTTCAATGACTTTTCAAGAATTAGACATACACGTATAATTAGCATCTACAATAAATAATGAAATATATTAGCAACACACCAACCTCTCTCATGCTTCCTTACATCTCTAGTTATTCTAAATTTTTTTTTTATCATTTATTGATGTATTTTTACATTTGCCCACAAATATTTACTTTATGTATCAAAAAAAATTTTCCTCATACTCCATACTTCTTGACAGTTAATAAATCACTTTCAAATGTTCAAAACTGAATTTTAAAGATAATATTCGAAATATTTGTTACAATTTTGTTTGTAACTCTGATAAATGATAACTAGAAAAAGTGGCGTCAGGCGCCTTCGCATGTGACATAATGCGAAATACAGTTCACTACTTCATGTACTTACTGAAAACGTGAAACATAAATGTAGACAAGAGGAAAATATCAAGCAAACTCATACCCTGGGACACTTTTTAAGACAATGGGCACAAGTTCCAGAAAATGGTCATTGTCTAGGAAGAGTTACAACATTGGTTGGGAGACACTTTGGTTTTACATCATTTTTGAGGAAACATTTACATGCCAACTACTCAAACTGTTGAAAAGCGAACACCCAGCACACAATTCACACATACATCTTATCAGTTCAGCCCTGCCTACCAAGTAGTCTGTGATATGCCACCTGCTAGCAAAGATCAGTCTCTTTTTTGTTCCTTCAATGTTTTCTTCAAGATAATCCTCTGGTTGTGGCTGTCCTTTTACACTCTCTACTGATTACAATGCTGGGCTGGAAAAGCCCAGGTTATTTTACGTTAGGAATTCTTTCATATAGCTTCTCTAATCCTCTCTGCCAGGCAGAACTGTATATGGTGCCAGGACATCTTTGCAAGAGCTTCTGTTAGCTTACTCGAGACCAACCATAGTTCTTACTTTTCCAGTTTAATCTTCAGATATGACATTCCAGTCAAAGTCCTGTCCAATAAGGAGTATTTCCAATTTCTGATTGAAGGCAACAAGTATTACGGAACTTACAGAAATAACAATTCTGCCACAAACTAAGAATACTCCCAAATATTTTCCAATTCCAGAAGGGTTAGGAAGAAAGAAAAGTTTATGTTTCCATTGAAAGAAAGAAACAGAAGGAGGTTCCACATGGCTCCTGCGAACTAGGTATTGCAGGGCACAGGAGAAATGAAGACTTTCTACTGATAATTCAGCCTCCAGCAAACAAGCTAGCGACTGAACTTCAAGAATTTGAAAGAAACACACCATCCATCAGATGACAAGAAATCACCGCTGGATAACAAGAAATATGGGAAAACGAGAAAATACCTCTCCTCCAAGGGAAAAGAGTACCTCTTCTTCATCCACAAGCAGTTCGGTGAAAATCATGGAAATGTCTGATAAGGAATTTAGAGCATTCATAATGTCGAAGCTAACAGGGATGGAAGAGAAGAGAGATAATGAACTGCTAACGAGAAAGGAAAAAGAAGTTGATGAGTTCCAGGAGATGAGGAAATTCTTGCAAGATCTAAAAGAGGAACTACACACTTTACAAAAGACTCAAATGGAACTCTTAGAGATGAAGTCTATAATACAAGAAGTCAAAATCTCCCTTGAAAGTATTAAAAGCAGACTAGATCATTCAGAAAATAGAATCTCAGATGTGGAAGAGAAAACTACTGGCCCGGAAAAATCCACCACGAAGACTGAGAAAATGGCCCAAAAATTTGAGAATAATATACAAGAAGTACTAGATACCATCAAACGTCCAAACATCCAAATAATTGGCATTCCAGAAGGTGAAGAGACCCATAAGGGCATTGATAATCTATTCCATGAAATCCTGCAAGAAAACTTTCCAAACCTAGAGAGGCACTCAAAGATCTAGTCCCAAGA